CAACATGGCCGCTGTTCCTCCTTTCTTCACTGTACACGACGACATGGTCATCTGTGGCATTGACAATGTCACCCTCTTCCAAGGACGCACACAAGCCGAGAGAATTGCTTACGAAATATTCTCAGACAATTTCACCACAACGATGGACAGCACCATTGACAAACTAAACAAAGAGTTCAAGACCCTCGCAGGATTGACAATTGCGCAAGGACAGATACGCTTGATGCCAGCTATCAAAAAGAACATCCGCGCATTCATCCAATGGTGCAGAGAGGAGATTCGCATGGGACAAGACCCTACCACAACGCCATTCCCCGTCGTTGATGCAGCCAAAGTGAAACTGTTACGAGTTGTACCGCACAACACCGACAAAAACTGTCATGAATAACGCCAAGCGCTGCACCAATACAGACAAAAACTGCAGGTGCCGCAACACAAAATGGATCAATGAAAAAGAGTGACATTTTCAATGCAAACCGAGAGAATCGCTTATTTAACACACCATCAACGAGCTATGCTATGCTAGCAAAAAGACTACAATGAACTGGTCCATATTTGAACGTATGGCTGCTGAAGAAATCATACGCAGCATACAACAAACATGAGGAGAGAGAAGCCCATTCAGAGGCGAGAAAAGTCCATCCAGACGCAATGAAACTATACAATGAAACTAAAGACCAAGGTTACCGCCTCATTCCTACAACTGAACAACACAGCGATGGATACGGAAATTGGCAAATGACCGACAGCACCAAACCCAGACCGCAACAGCACCAGCAATGCAACTCGATCCGGTAGCAACACCACACACACACTCACAACGGCAACACTGGCGACACCAACCGCAGCACCAACTACTAGATGGCAGAAAGATCTACAGACATGTCATGAGACGCAGCCTACACTTTGAACTTGAACTGAGACAAGATTGGCAACTGCAAATTCCAAACCAGGAAGAGAAACAACAACTCGTGTTTGAACAAGAGAAGCACCAGCCAATGGAAGAAGAAGAAATTGACTTCTCAGATGGTCAACATGGACCACTATTCAACAATAATGCCAAAAGCGATGTTGCAAACATGAAGCTGAATCGG